GAGCTTTTGATGTGTTCTTATTTGGTGAAACTCGTGATGCAATTCTGCTTTTGGTTCGAGGTCACGACTATCTGGTCTCATGTGTATGATGCTGTCTGATTGCTGAAGTTCGCTATTGCTCATCTTCCTTGCAATTTGGTATGGGAGCTGTGGTACGGTGCGCTAATCTGGCGCTTGTCTTCTGCCTAATGCGGTACATGCACGCGGTGTGTGCGGTGAGTGACCGTGCCGTGGGACGTGCGTATTGAGGACGGCGAAGGCAAGAACAGGCGACCCAGGTGGAGAGGGGTTCGCCAGGAAGGCTATGCGGTGTAATGTGGGTTCTGGACAGTGTGATGAGAACTATCTGATGTGCGATTGGTGCTAAGGTGGAACGGCGTGTAATGCTGGTTGTGCCGAAGCAATGACTGGTCATCACAATCGGCGTCAGGTCATCAGGTCATCACAATCTGCGTCAGGTCATCACTATTTGAGGTATGTTGCTCTTAACCTTACCTACCCTCTTCATCACTTCTTACCGTGAGGTTGTGTGTTCCGTCTTGAGAGTCCTCTCATTGTGAGGAGTTGAGTGCTCTCAACCTTGAGAGTCGGCAATGTTCACGTGGAGCATCTGGGGGAAGACGGGCGGAGCTTCTTGAAGGGCCCTGGACGAAGCACTGGGTCACAGTCACCATGCCAACCCACAGGGAGTAGAGCACGCATGATTTGCTGCTTGTCCTTTGTTCGGCTCGCTGCGCTGTTAGATGGGTTCTGAGGGGCAGGCCAGCCCTATGTGGGAGACGAGAACCGGGCGTCTATAAATAAACACCGGCAGGGGAAACCATTGGCTGTGATTGTCATCCTGTTTGCAATGTTAAATAATTCCTGAGGACACTTGGGGGGGGTCTTTAAATAGCCTCTTGATCAGCCAATCGGTGTAAGGCTCACTGCACGCGAGGATAAACAATGCGCTAGAGCTGTCCAGCTCAGCAGGTATCGAGGCACAGGGGTGGGTCGATTGCACACCTTTAGACACGCACTGCTCTCTAGATGGCTTAGGGACGCTGACGTCAAGCGACATTCAAGAGGAACTAAGGGAGGGGTAGATCTCAGGTGATAAGTTCGGGAAAAATTCCATGCTGTCCCAATCCATACCAATGATTCTATTTTTATGTTTTGATTAGTTAGATGTACAACCATTAACATATGACAGACAACATATTAGAACTGTTTTCTGTTCATTGTGCATTCTGTTCGAGAACTACTCAAACTAAAAATAGTTTTTATTTGTAGGAATCTGAACTTACCTGTTGAACCCGAATGGTTAGTCTCTGACATAGCCACCAAGTAATTATTTATTTATTTTTAGTTGGTTTGTGCACTATACTGCGGTAGGCATCTAGAGTGTCCTAGTGCAGTTTGTGTATGGTGCTGTAGCTTATAAGCGACAGGGAGGTTCCAACCGAACGACCGACTCTTGCAATCGGCTAGACGCTCGATTGCCCATTTGGCATTAGGACCAGAGGGCGACAAATACTTGTTCCGCCAGCAGAGAGAGAGGCAGCAGCAAAAGAGAAGAGCTAGGGCCGCAGAGGCAAGCAGGGCATTCGCAAGCGAGGCCGCTACTTCAGCAGTCATGGCCACTACTGCGCAGCAGACTTCTCAGACTGGTAGTTCAGGATCTGTAGGGTCAACGGTCGCGCAGACCTTGAGTCAGTCCACTGGCGTAATGGCAAGCCAGCCCTTAGTGATGACTCCCGAGGAGGTCGCCATACAGTGAGCTGCTGATCGTGAGGCAGAGCTACAACAGGCTTTAGGAGAGATTAAGGCTGAGAAAGAGAGAATGATTAGGAGAAGAGCCAGGATGTAGCGGAGGCAAGCGTACATTAGTGAGTTAGAGGAGATGGACCCAGCAGAGATGGAAGATGATGTGAGGACCATACGGTCGGTCTTGTTAGGTGTAGTAGAGATGGAAGATCACCAAATGGAGATCTTACAGGACATCCAACAGAGTCTGGCTGTGTTAGTCGGGCGAGTGCACGAGGCACCGTCACCGTCCGGGCCCGGTGCCTGGCCCGTTGTACATCCTCCTCCTTTTGTCCCACCAGTGACTGGGGTTTCCCCATATACAGCTCCAACATCGGTCCAGACCGTTTCCCTGGGTATGCCGTTAACAGGAGGGTTCTCAGCAGGTCCTAGTTTGCAGGTTCCTGTACAGACATTGTTTTCCCAACCTCTGTCTTAGGTTGCCGTGAGCGGGCAGCCTATTGTCTCGCAGCCTGCACAGCCACAGGGTACACAGCCCCGACAGTCAGTGCAACAGCCTGCTCCTCAAGGTCCACAGCCCAAAGTGATGCAGGGACCGGGACAAAGTCAGTGGGTACCAAAGACGGCCATCGCCGCTCCTAAACCCTTCACAGGGAATAAGAGAGGTGGCCGCACGAGGGCAGTGCCAGTCTATGTGAAGTGTAAACTTACCTAGCCGCACGAGGAAGTGCTTGTGGCTGCCTCCTATCTGGAGGGGAGTGCAGCACGATGGTTGAGTGGTTTAGTGCAGCTCCAGGGGTACGGTCATGACTTTCTCGCTTGGGCGGTCACCCAAAAATTGGATGACTTCCTTAAGTTGGTGGAAGACAAGTGGCATGATCCGCAGGAAGCTCAAAAAGCTATTGATGCGATCCTGACACTGCACACGAGGCAATTTAAGTCAGTAAGAGAGGCCACTGACGCTTTAGAGCGTCTGATCTGTGTCCCTGGGGTTCGCTATGACCCCCAGGTTTTACTCACCTCCTACCTGAGATGCTTTCCTATGCCTTTCAGGAATCAGTTGGCAAGTGAGGCCAACATCAACATGCACAACTTCCCTTCGTTTAGCAAGAAGGCCCTAGACCTGGAAGCGAAGATAGGGCATGGTCAGACACGCACGACGGATGGTAGGAAGAAGTCACTGCCTCCTAACTGGAAGGCGAAGGGTCGCATTACGTTTGTCGATAACGATCGATCAACCATCGACAACTTCCAGGAGGGAGCAGGTTCAGAGGCTGGCAGCGTAGAGGCTTCAGGGGGTGGAGTAGTCGCTACCGTAGCACAGAAAGGTAAGGCGATCGGTAGACGCCGAGGAGGTTTCTAGTCTAGGAGTCGAGTAGACCCCAATGCTCCTCCATGAGGGAAAGCGGGTCTTAGTGAGGACGTGTGGAGAGACAGGTACACCAGAGAGGCTTATAGTCGTTGTGGTCAATATGGCCATAATCAATTCAAGTGCCGCAACAAGAAGGTGACCGAGAAGATCCTGCCTTCGATGGGGAAGGCGTTGGGATCCTCCACTCCCATTGGTAGCAATGTGGCCAGCAGTTCTGGCACCGCTCCGGGAAACACATCGGGCCAGTAGGAATAATAGTTGTTCCTCCTAGGGTCGAGGTGGTGGACACACCCTCACCATCTCGAGAGATGGCCCAAGCTACTGACTCCATCGTCGTCCCGCAAACACGTTCAGACCCATCGAGCCTTTGTTCGATGAATGTGTTTGAGTCCTTAGAGGAGCTAGAGGAGGAGTGGTCAAGATCAGACCCACTAGCTTCTTGGACGGCCTTGGTCAAAGCCCCTAAGGGTGAGATGTTCGTCAGCAAGGTGGTCATTGGCGGCCGCAAGGCCGGGGCCTATTATGACATTTGCTCGACAAGGAACTTCATTAGTCACGCGTGCGTTGAGAGGCTGCGCTTACAGGGGCAAGTGCAGCGCCTGAGTCGACCTGTGGAGTCGACCTGTGCCAACAAACAGCGCATGGTAGTCAACGACTACCTCCAGGATGTCGAGTGTTGTTTCCCGTACGCGGGAGGGGAACTGAGACATCGTGTCTCGTTCCTAGTGAGCGATGATCTCCCCATGGATATCTTGTTAGGTATGTACTACCTCTCTGTGGCACAGCCCCAATTTGACTGGGACCGAAAAGTGGTCAAACACACTTTGCCAGGTGGAGGGACCGCCAAATTACGTAAGTTCAAAGCTAGTAGTCTGATCGAGTCCTATGGATGCATGTGTGAGGCCGCGTTTTATAATTACTATAAGCAAAATCAGGAGGAGGGTATGTATCTAGTTTATGTCTCTGCTGCAGGCGAGCTGGTGAAAATGTCGCCGGAGATAGAGGGAGTAGTTGCTAAGTACCCTGATCTATTTTAAGAGCCGACAGGGGTTGTTGAGAGGGAGGTCGTCCACGCGATATAAATTATCCCAGGGTCTAGCATCCCAAAGGGTAGGATCTATTGGATGTCTTCAGGCGAGCTTGACGAGCTTCGCCAGCAACTCAAGGTACTCATAGAGAAGGGGTGGATCCGACCGAGTGTCTCTCCTTATGGTTCTCCAGTCTTATTTGTACCAAAGAAGGGGGGCACTTTGAGGATGTGCATTAACTATAGGGGCCTCAATGCCATCATTGTCAAGAACCGAGAGCCCCTACCGCGCATCGACGACTTGCTAGATCAAGTGCAAGGGTGCCGGTACTTCAGTAAGATAGATCTGAAGTCCGGGTACCATCAGATTGCTATACGGCCCGAGGATCAGCACAAAACCGCATTTCAGACCAGGTACGGTCTATACGAGTTTGTGGTGATGCCTTTCGGCCTTTGCAATGCTCCTGGCACCTTTCTTTTTTTTTTCTTTAAACACACACACGCTGCCCAATCTATTCTGGGGGGCAACGGTCCGGTTGCTAATCACCGGCAAGCAGAAAGACAAAGTCCGAAAAGAAAAAACGAACAGAAGAAAAAAAAGGGGAGGGGGTATCCCCTCAAGCCCCCGTAGGAGACTGAGGGGCAGCGGCAGTGAAAAGAGGCGGGCGAACTCACAACCTCCTAGAGCCCCCTAGTGCCCCCACCGGGAGGCAACAACGCACCCAGTCATGAACGCACCAACGAAGCAAAGGACCTGTGCTAGGACCACCCCTTTAACACTCAGGTGTCACCTGAGCATAAGGTTTTTTTGGATGCACCCATTACCCAAGAAGTAGCAGAGGGGTTGTCCGGGATGCACAAAGGTAAGGCGCCGAGCCCGGACGGTTTGCCGGCCGAGTATTTGATGATTGCAGCACGTCCTCTCCTTCCGTTTTTGTGTGAGGCCTTTAATGGTCTTTTCTCAGGAGGTGAGGTTCCTCCAACTACTTTTGGCCAGGCCACGATTGTCCTCCTGTACAAGAAGGGGAGTATTGAGGAAGTCAGGAAATGGAGGCCCATTTCTCTTCTATCGGCGACGTACAAGCTTTATGCGAAGGTGCTTGCCAATAGGATTGTCGTGGTGCTACCCGCCATTGTTCATTCTACCCAGACTGGTTTTGTCCCTTGAAGGCAGATCCTGGTGAACGTCCTCCTGGTTCGTCAAATCATGGAAAGAGCTCAGGATTTCCAGCCCCCGTTAGCTACTCTCTTCTTGGATTTTGAAAAGGCTTATGGCAGGGTCAAGTGGCCTTTTCTCTTGCAAGGTATGAGGTGTAGAGGTTTTGGGGAGGGCTTTGTGAAGGCTATTCAGGGGGTGCTGGGGATGGCAGTGGCGAGGGTACATGTTAATGGTTTCCTGTCATCTCCATTGAGGGTTACACGCTCTGTGCGACAAGGTTGCCCCCTTTCCCCTGCTTTGTACATCTTGTATGTGGAACACTTGCATGAAATGATTCGGGGGGATGACCGAATTCTGGGTTTCGAGCTACCTGGAGGGGGCCAGGTCAAGTCCAATGCGTTTGCTGATGACACCTTTCAGCATGCGATGAATCGGATCTTTCATGACTACTTGGACAAGTTTGTCATCGTGTACCTCGATGACATACTTATTTTTAGTAGGACTGTCGAGGAGCAGGTGGCTCATTTGGACAATGTCCTCTGTCTCCTTCGTCGGCACAAGTTCAAGATAAACGGGGAGAAGTGTGAGTTTGGCCGCACCCGTATCTTGTACTTGGGTCATGAGATTTCCGCGGAGGGTTTGAAAGGTGGCCAACATTCGTGATTGGCCGCGGAGGGTCTGTGACTGAGATGAGGTCTTTCTTAGGGATGACCGGCTACTATCGCAATTTTGTGAAGAACTATACCATAGTTGCCGCCCCTTTGACTAACCTGACCCGCCTTGACACCCCATGGGAGTGGACAGACAGGTGCGAGGCTGCTTTCAGACATCTGAAGCGTGCGTTGACGCATCATGAGGTCTTGAAACTTCCTGATCCTGACAAGCCTTTCGTAGTAACTACGGATGCTAGCCAATATGGCATAGGCGCCGTACTTGCGCAGCAGGAGGGGAAAAAGTTAAGGCCGGTAGAGTATATGTCCAAAAAGATGCCCTCTCAGAAGTTGGCTAAGTCCACCTATAAGAAGGAACTCTATGCGATCTTCAAGGCGCTCACCCATTGGAGACACTATCTCCTTGGGAGGTTCTTCTACGTCAGGACTGATCACCAGACCCTGAAGTGGATGAGAACCCAGCCTGTGCTAGTTAAGGCCGGTACAGTACATGTCCAAAAAGATGCCCTCTTAGAAGTTGGCGAAGTCCACGTATAAGAAGGAACTCTATGCGATCTTCAAGGCGCTCACCCATTGGAGACACTATCTCCTTGGGAGGTTCTTCACGTCAGGATTGATCACCAGACCCTGAAGTGGATGAGAACCCAGCCTGTGCTCTCTGACGCTCTAAAGCGTTGGATTGAAGTCATAGAGCAGTATGACTTTGAGCCCAATACATCAAGGGCGAGTACAACAAGGTTGCTGATGCGCTGTCGCGTAGACCAGATTTCTCTGGTGCGCTGATCACTGAGTTTGGGCTTGCGGACGATGTTACTCAATCTATGGTGGAAGCCTATCGCGAGGACCGGTTCATGTCTGAGATCATACGCAGACTCGAGGCGAAGGACAAAGCGACGTCTGCCGAGTTTGAGTTGGTCAACGGGCTGTTGTTCCTTGGCAGGGAATAAACGTCTGTGTGCCAGATAGGGAATCTTTGCGTAGTTTATTTTTAGGCGAGTGTCATGATGCCACGGGACATTTTGGTTTTAAAAAGACTGCAGCCAATCTTCTGCAACGGTTCTGGTGGCCCGCGATGATGAGAGATGCGAAGCTGTACGTGGAAACTTGTCAGGTTTGTCAGAGGGACAAGCCACGTACACATGCTCCTCTTGGGCTTTTGAAGCCCCTTCCGATTCCGGAAAGGCCTGGTGAAAGCCTGTCCATGGACTTCATGGATACGCTGGTCACCAGCAAGAGCGGAATGAGACACATCTTTGTTATCGTGGATAGGTTTAGTAAGTACGCTAGGTTAGTTGCAATGCCAGAGACAGCGAAGACTGAGCATGTGATTAAGTTGTTCAAAGAGAACTGGGTTAGAGATTTTGGATTGCCAAAGTCTATAGTCAGTGGCCGTGATGTGCGATTCACAAGTGAACTGTGGAAAGCCACAGCTGCTGAACAGGGAACGCAACTGCAGATGACATCAGGAAACCATCCCGAGGCGAATGGACAAGCAGAACAGTTGAACCGCGCTGCACAACACCTGCTGAGGCATTACATCAAGCCAAATCAGGTAGACTGGGATGAGAAACTTGCTCTCATTGCCAGCCTGTACAACAACACAGTCCACAGCGCAACGGGCGTGAGCCTGAATAGTCTACTATTAAACTTTAGAGTTTGCTTATCGATATGAGCAGCTGATGCAGCAGGCTGTTGAACAGATGCACAAGGCACAGGCGGCGATGATAGAGTCTGAGAACAAACACCGCCGCCCATCCACGTTTCAGGTAGGAGAGAGAGTCTGGGTCAAGTCCTCAGAACTGGGACAGGAGCACGGGATCTCCCGCAAGCTCATGCCACAGTACTTTGGACCATGGGAGATTCTGGATGTTGTTGGGAATGAACCGGATGGGCCGTCTTATGTTATTCGCATCCCCGGTCACTTACGTACGTACCCTGTTTTTCACGCTTCTAAGCTTGCACCGTTCAGAGAGACTGATTAGTTTCCCTCTCGTCGCTCTATGCTGCCCCCAACCATGGATGGAGAGGTCGACATCGACGACATTGTTGATCATAGGGAGATGCCAGTTCCAAGACCAACAGGCAGAGGACGTTCTCCAAAACCGAAACTGCAGTATCGAGTTCGGTTCAGACATCACACCGATCCAAAGGAGGATAGATGGTTTACAAGAGAGGAACTGATGCAGACCGCTCCACAGGTAGTCGTTCCCTATGAGAAGTCTCTGCAGAAGGGAAAGCGCCAGATTGTCGAAGACTGAACTTCTCAGAGGACTAGTGAAGTATGGAGGAGGGAATGTGAGGCACAAGGCCTCGATAAGCCCTACTGGGCCGCAATTTGCAACAGTGTCGGCCGCCCTAAGTGAAGGCAGGCCCGACAGACCCTAAGAGGCCTATTTTGGACTACTTCGCAACTGGGGAAAATTCAGGTAGTTGCACAGCGCCAGTTGGTTGGAAGCGCCCAGGCCCTGGCCTCCTTTATCGAATGCATCTGAGTCAGGCCCTGGGCAAGATTCGCAGCATAGGCCCAACTCAGGCTGTGGGCAGTTGGGCACAGGTAACTGTCGGTGGCCCTGGGCCAA